ACCAATTATATCATGTGGTATTGCGAAGGCTGGCAAATGGTAAGAAGTGCTGGTGAAAGAATACAAAAAATGACAATGACATTTTTTGAGATTGACATTTGTTATGGTCTTTGTTATTTTGTTGAGAAATATTAACTTTTTTATAAGAACTATTCATTTAAACACACAACTTTTCAATCCAACATTTTCTTTTTTTTTTAATTTTTTTTTACGACAGGCTTTAAGAGGCTTAGCTTGTTAGCACCAAACTGAAAAATACACGATGAGTTCCCTTTTGTTCTTAAGATAGCTACCGTTACCGTTAGCACAAAGCACATAATACTGCACCACCATATCTAGGCCAGGCCTATCAGGACATTAGGATTTCCGCTGGATTGTATGGTTCATAAATTTTTTAACAAATGAAATTATAATGGAGAATGCCCAAAGAAAGAATGTAAAAGGAGAGGAAGCGTGTTGTTAATATCATTGTTAAATGTTAATTTAGTGTTTTTTGTTGTTTTTTTTTTGTGAATATTAGATTTTATATAAAAAAACTACTTTAAAGTGCTGTTCACGTATCAACATTTTCACAACTGTAAAAGAGAACTATATTACAACTTCCTCTATTTCTACAATATTGCTTTTACAACATTATAGGCCTACATTCTTTCTGTCATACATAAAATAGCTTTTTTAATGTGCTGTCCAAAGGAATTTGAATCAACATTTCAAATATTTGTAAAAATGTGTCTGACCCCCTTCTCCCAAGCGTACTGTTTCTACATTTATTAAAATGCTATTGGTGGATGGGCTCCTTACTCATTATGGAATGTTGAAAAAATGATGATTTGAATCAACATTTTCATATATATTTGTAAAGATATACAAATTTTTCTGACCCCCCCCCCTTTTTTTTTCCTCAAGCAACTGTAGTAAACTTGTTAAATGCTAATTAGTGACTGAGCTCCTTACTAATTATGGAATAGTGAAGAAATGACCCCTTACTCATTATGGAATAGTGAAGAAATGATGGTATTTGATTTTAAGGAGATTACTCTCCCCATTCATATTTTAATACTGCCTTCCTACATAATTCATCACACCATACGGTCGACCTTGGATCAGAGGACAGGTTCAATGTGCTCTTTCCTGCTTTCTCATTTTCATTGTTTACAACACTTGTGTTATAATTAAATTGCCTACCAGCTCAAATTATGCATTGCTGTTTCATAAGGGATGGCCTGAAACCTAAGCCATACTACTGATTGCACTGTACACTTGCCTCTAGCTTTCCAATATTTACCTTACTGCTTCACATCTGTGTGTAATTATGAGTAACATTATAACATCATCATCGTGGTCATAACATTATCATGATAGACCAGCAGTGACAACCTTGCTTGCTTTAACATTCTTTCTGATATTTTATGCAAATTATGTCGTAACATAAACTTATTTATAAATAGCTCAAAGCACTTAAGATATTTTTTGTATATATTTTGCCAACCTTGTAACACATTTTGCCTTCCAAACTGATCATTTACATAACGAGATGCTTTGTATTTTGTTTAGGTATTTAGGTAATGTTTTAGCATTAATTGTGAAACATTAGAAAGTAGATTTTTCCTAGAAAAATCCTTAATTCATTGAGGATTTCACATGATCCTATGATTAAAAATATATATTACTTTCTGTTAGTTGTAGCAATTGCACAAAAAAAATGACATGTTTTTTGTGGTTATCATTAGCTCTTATTAGAAAAAAAATTTAAAAAAATCAAGATTGAATTTGACAATTTAGCCTCAATATCAATGATGGTACTGAAAAATAATATAATTTCAATGCTTTCATTTTAGACTGTCAATGAACAGTATAAATACCTTAAAACCTTGAATAGAAGCCCTGGGTGGTTTTTTTTTTTTCGAGATGGGCCTCTTTTCGTGATCGCCTTCTTTTCAAGATTACTTTTGCAAACTAAAAAGGGAGCTTCTTTTTCCCCAAAGAATGCTGTATATTTGGAATTGCTACATTACAACATTTTTCAACTATGGAATTCGAAATTCTTTTTAAAATTTTAACCATGCTAGTCTCTAGTACAATAAAATACTATTGATACTGACACAATATCATTTAATTATAAGATAATGTCAGTCTGAATGTTGTACTATCTCGAAAGAATCCCATGTTATTTTGATCAGAAGGCCATGGGCTTATTTTCAAGACTACTTTGCAAACTGAAGAGGGGAAGGGCTCCTTTTCGAGATGGGCTTCCTCTCCAGAGATTAAGCCCTTTGGGCTTGTATTTGAGGTTTTAATTACTATCATTACTACATTATTTGAATTTATGTTTAAATTTGCTTGCAGGTCTTTCAAGAATTTTCTTAGTTAAAATTCGGCAAAATCTTATTTTTAATCAATCTGAAGTTTAAAAGATAAATTTTTGATCAGGATAAATTCAGTGTTCAGACCTTGATTTAAAAGTAGATAAATTTTGATCAGGATAAATTCAGTGTTCAGACCTTGATTTAAAAGTAGATAAATTTTGATCAGGATAAATTCAGTGTTCAGACCTTGATTTAAAAGTAGATAAATTTTGATCAGGATAAATTCAATGTTCAGACCTTGATTTAAAAGGTAAATTTTGATTAGGATAAATTTAGTGTTTTGATTGAATTTTTAAGGTTTTTTAATCCATACCACATGAATTGATGTTTGTTTCATTTACATTAAGATTTATAGATATTTTTTAAAATCATCTACCCAAAATCAAAGAAATAATATTACTGATGCCAAAAGATGTCAGAAAGTAATTAGTAATTTTAATGATTTATGAGTTTTAATATAAAAATGTAATGTTTATATTCACCATGGTTGTAATTACTTAATACGGTATATCTTTGATATTTCAAAGCATAAATCTGATGTCACATGTTAATGTGGAGATCCCTCAAAGGTTAATATTCGCCACATGTGGTTTGTGAGCGTGTATCTTAGGGCCTGTTTCTACTGACAAAATACAAAAGTACGGTATTCAGTGAAACCGGTTTTCATAATTGTTTATAAACAAAGACCGCATTGTAGTTTAATTTTAACACAAACAGATATCGGTTTCTCCTAAGGAGGTTGTTGTGCAATGACGTCATTTTTACCCACAGTCATTTGACAGCTTGCTAGGTCTGGTCAAACTGAGACCGCTATTGCGTTGCAGCTAAAAATTGCTTGGTGAATACGGGTTTGAGTACGGTATTCGGCGATCGAGACCAGATTCAATTGGGGTTTTCAAAACCGGTATTTGAATTCGGGTTTTATTTTATGGGACCCATTTCCACTGACAAGAAAATACGGATCTTTGAGAATACTGGTCTTGAAACCCGAATTCTATTCTCAGCAGAAACAGGCCCTTAAATATAGCTATATACTGTATTATAGTCAAACTTAGAATGAAATTATCAGGATGATCAAAGTTCTAAAAGGGATGAATCTTAATTAAAAAAAACCTCCTTAGGCAATCTCTTGATTAGTGAGTAAATAACATTGATTTATGGAACATTCTATTAGGTTATAAGTAACTACGTGGGTGAATATTTCACCTCTACAAACAATCTCCTTTCTAGGCCTGGGTTAAAGAAGCAATTTGTCCGAAGTCATGAAGTGGCAAAGGGTACTAAATAAGAATATGTTTTGCAATGATCAAGTCCCGCTGTGCACAGTATTTGACGAAGAGCCCGCAACATTAATCAGTGATTGATTCATGCCTAGTGTTGTTATCATTACTTTTCATTATGTTCTCTAAATGACAATCTTTGAACTGAAAGGTTATCCATATTCCTCTAGTTTAAACTTTAAACACAACATTAAAATTTTACTGTCAATTTTCTCAGTGTTTATATGTCCCATTGTGATTAGGATGTGAAATAAAAAGATAAGATATATTAAAGCTTTGAACCCTGGACATTGAGGTAGTAAGGTTAACCACCAAGCAACAGCTCAACTCATATTGTGGTCAATTGCAGGAAATTCCTTTCAGGGTGTCCTTGGCTTAAGGGCTGTTAGGATCATCTATTGTCTATCATTGATCATATGTTTAACTTTACATTATGGTAATAAAAATGTATTTAAAAAAAAAAGTATAGTAGTTGGTTGACAAGGTTTTTAGCCTCTCCAAACGAAATATCAACATCTTTGTGGCGGCTGAAGTATGTTTGCCTATGTTCTTAATGATGTTGTCAGTGATAACGACTGTTAATGATGGTGGTAGTTGTTGAAGTAATTGGAAGTTTTAATAGGATTACAATGAGAATAATCGTGAAGCTGCTATGTCATCATTTTTTTAGATCTGTCCACACTCAAATTTTATGTGACAAAAAATTGTATTAAGTGCCCATATTTGGGTATAGCATGACATCATAATACTCATATGGGCACATCACACAAGTTTGTCCCATGCAGTTTAATAATGTGGACAGAGATTAAGATTCAAATGTTATTACTTCAGATAATGCTCGAAATATTGAAATAGAAACCTGATAGTGCCAATATTTTGGGTGTAGTATGACATCATCATGCCTATATACTGTAGGTATGCACACATCACACAAGTTTGTCAGATAAAGTTTGACAGTGTGGACAGAGAGAGCTTAAGCTTTCTATCACTATCAAATATCATCAAAAAAAGCATCATATAAAATTTGATGGGACATAGAGTTGTACATGTCCAACATTTTTGATACAGTTTGATGATATGTGATATGACTTCATCGTACCCATATATGGGCACATCACATTTTTTTTTCACATAAAGTTTGATAATGTAGACAAAGCTTTAGATTGAAATGGCGTTTCTTCTATTGACTGAAACATTAAAGTAGACCTACCAATACGATAAAACCGCTTTCAGGATTTACATAAAATTGGTTTGTTTTTACTTTGATTAAAAGCTACATAAATAAGTACATTTTTGCCTCAATTTACTTTTAGTATGTTATGTAACTTTGTATTTTAATTGGATTTATTTGCAGGAAAGAAATTCTTCTATCAAAACGCCTCCCTCCAACAAAGCTAACGACAGGGCCTTGAAGAGGAAGTTGTTTCCTGTTGGAAATTCAGAACAAGGTAAACATCAATATTTACACCATAAATTGTTGATCATAATCTAATTTTTGATTTTGAGAAAATCCATGAATATATAAATAGTGTTGAATTTGCAAATTCACAGGCATCCATAAAAAGTATAATGAAAAGCAATAAAAAGTGTTGATTATTGCTGTAGAATAAATTGCTGTAGAAAAGCCATCCCACATTAGCAATTTGCTGAGGGAGCATTTTGAGGAAATTCAAACCCTGTACTATATTACCAGAAGGTTTCGTAAGTGTACAGTTATTGACACAAACCTGTTATTTGATTCATAGTTGTTTATTAACCTACGCCTCTTATCTGATGGAATCATACGTGAAAATGGCCTTCCCTAGTTCCTAACTACAACCCTATTACGACAGGTCAAAATCTGGGAGTTTTCCTAACGAGATTGAGGAAACCTGAAAGAAACAAGTCATCAGCTATGTTTAGAATGCATTAGTGTAATGATGAAAGATAGTTTAATATACGCGGTAGAATATTGCATTATAATTAATCATAATAGGTACGATACTAATGATCGTAATATTAGTAATAGAGGAAGCTATCGCATAATATGGCATAGGGCACAAGGTCTCTGGAAGTTAGGATAGATCCGGAGAAAAGTGGAGATAATGGTTAAGGAAGAGGTGCTTATATCATCCATTCATTTTGATTATTTATTCAGACAAAAAAAGTCACGTCATCAAAACAAAACTGAACTACATGCTAAAACACATGATATCATTGATTCCAATATTAAATAAACAAGTAAATATCAAGATAATATTCAGGTGTGTATTTGACTTTTGAAACACTAAAATTTATTCCATGTAATATATTTGACTACTGCATGTCAAATTTGCTTTCCACATTATGAAATACCGTATTTATTCGAAGAGATTTGGAACTTCAACACAAAATTACCATCAAAATGTGTTATTGCATGTCTTCATAAAGACTTCCAAATCAGGTTGGAAGTCTAGTGCAGTAATAGAATGTGTTAAGAATGATGTTGCTTTATTTGGGGGGTGGGGGGAGCATTTATTCAAAGCTGGGTGTTTATTGAAATAAGTATGGTTCATAGGTATAAAAAATGATACTTGTTTTGTCCCTTATGCAAGACATTTGGCCATCAACTGACTAATGCTTTTCAAAAGAGTTGACATTTACACAGCACATTTTGAACTTGATCAACAAAAAAATAATGGAGGTGGGGAAAATGATTTCACCTAACTTAAGAAGACTTGATTATAGAATGGAGGAACCACATGTAAATTTAATACATCGCACTATTTGGCTGCAGTTTTGATAAATATATTGAAACAAAAATGCAGAAAAACATATGTGAAAATGTGATAAATGAAACTGGAGTAAATTTACTTGACTTAAAGCCAGGCTGTGGTGGAAAAGACTCTTGATGTGATATACAACTGATTTTTCTAAAACATAAAAGCGTGTTTGACGAAAAACTCAGAAACGGTTAATTAGATTAACAATTCCTAATCCTGGCTTTAAATGTCACTATCTGAGCTGTTTTGATGTGAATGAAAACAAAATTAAAATACTATACATAGATGATAGAGATGTGTAATCAGTTTGGTATGTTTTTTATGTTATTATTATTATTATTATTATTATTATTATTATTATTATTATTATTATTATTATTATTGTACGTAAATTAAATGGTTGGGTGACAAGAGGTCAAGTCAGGAGGAAAGGCAGACACAAGAAATGGATGGATGAAATCAAGGAGATTAGTGACAGTACTTAGAAGAGAGCTGTACAGAAGAAAAGCAATTCAGTGAATAGGCTTTCCATCTGCACTAAAGTTGAACAGCTAGATAATAGATAGATGTTGCTAGAGTCAGATTCAAGATATTTCTCAGGTAGCATGTGACTAACTAGTACTAAATTTGGAATTATGCACAATTTTATGACATCATCCATTTGCAAATAGTCCAGACCTGGTGATGTATGTTTTCAATAAATAGGCCACAAGGATTCATTTGATCTCAAGTCATGCCAAGTAAACTGAGTTTGAGATTGCCAGAAAATTGTTTCTAGATTGGATAGATGCCCCTACAATGCTTAACAAAATTCATCATAAGTGTGAGCGGTTCATGAAAAGATAGACTCAAATTACAGGGCATGGTTTTGAATTTATTTGTACATGAGCAAATATGAGTGAAGATGTGATGGTAATCGATAAAGATATGTAAGAAATCGTGATATTTGAAACAGAAACTACAAGGTCACATGGTAATGCAATACTGTTTGCCTGCATTAGAATAGATCCCTACTAAAATATAGCCCATTTAGGTGCTAGACAAAGTGGGAAGGGCACTGGATAAATTGGGAAGATGATCTTCGTAACTGGAAATATGGCCAGTGATCTATCTACCCTGGTTTTAATTTATTTGGCAGTGAATGTTGGTGATTACAAATCTAATATTGTAGTCTTGATTTGCAGATGTACTGATATGAAGCAGGAGGGAGTTGTGTGAGAGGAATCAATAGGTTTTGCAAAAGGCTTCCTGCAAAGCAAATTAATCATGGATTTGGGAGCATTCTTTGATGCTAGAATTTAATATCTTCACATTTTCATCAAAGAATAGCTTTTCTCAATTTAGGGACGTTGAGGATTTGTAGCCTTAATACATCCTTGTAATCTAGCCATTGTCTTTATGGATTTTCCTACATTTTTATAAACATGAAATATTTTAAACACCTACAGTATATTATTTCACAAAGGGAATAATAATTCATGATTATAAATATATAATTTTGAAATTCCATAGGAAAGAAAAGTATTAATAACATTTTCAAATCAATTTAAACTCCATGCCCTAAATTAGGGATGTGCGTCTCTGGTAGTACTGTTCCGTCAAGCTGTTGTCTCAAATATTCGCAAGCAAGGCGTTAAAGCTGTTGGTCCTATTGTCCAACATGGATCGTACATTTATGCACGCATTACAAGAATGCGGGATTGTCTACGAGTTTCTTGCGCTAATTCAACACCCAAATGCAGCTGCAGTAGGTCCCCAGGGGCCCAGCCCACATATTTCATTTTCTGAACTAAGACCAGACAGAGTCATATATACTAAACAATCAATTAATTCCTAAGTTAAATTGTTAGAAAATATACTCTACATATTCTTAATACAGTAATTCATAATTTATTTGATATAATTTCAAACCATACAGCTCGGATTATTATAGGGTTGGTTTAAAACTCTTATGATAGAGCTGGAGATACAAAATGTAATAGACCAAAATAGTCTCGACCAGTAATAATTATGCAAACATTAGGAGTCAAAAGTTTACATGTTACAAAAAAAAAATTGTGTGTTGTAAGATATTTTGAAGGTTGTTAAGCTCAAAACAATGCCTAAGTTGAATTCCCAAGCTTATAACATGCTTGGGGACAGAACTTGAGGGCATAATGTATTATCAATAGCCTACTGTTAGACAAAGCCTGTTAAAATCGAACTGAAAATTATAGTACGCTATTATTTTTCAAGCAACAAAAGATAATTCTCCTCTTCAGATACTGTTATTCATCAACACATCAATAATATAGATACCATTATTTTAGGATTACTGAGTTGACATACATTTGAAGGGTTTAGACATCATGGGAGTACAGTTTTCCAGACATTAAGAATATTGAATTGAGCGATGTGGCGTGATGCGGTGTAATGTGTGCGTGATGCTTGACGTCCAACGCCCGATTTATCTTGAGATTATAAGAACAATAGGCAAGATAGAAATTACATTTCCAATAGCCTACAAGATAGCTGAATGGTAATGCAACAGTGCCACAACATTAGGATATGGTAGACCAGCGTCACTGAACTGCATTCTGTGTTTTTCTTTCAATTGAGAAGCAAAGGAAATGCTGTAGTCCCACAATTTTGTGTGCTTTAGGCAAGAATTTATACTTTTAATTATTTTTAAAAATAAATTTTAGCAACATGTTTCTGCTAAAAGCATCCCTTGGCAGAAAAAAAGAGCGATAAAAATTTCCCTCGCCAGCCCATGCTGTCACAGGGTCGTATAAATAATGTCAATTTTCAAAATCATCTTTTATCGACAGACAGCAAGCTTGTCATCATTTTCCTATGACTAAATTTGGCTCAGGATTTCATAATGAATAGATTATGTATTACATATTTTGATGCCAAATTTTGCAGTTCATCTTGCTGTTTTGAGGAGAATTAAATGAATAATTTATTATGAAAAACTCAAGAATTGTTGGTAATGTCTTGTTGATTGCTATTTAATGAACTCTACCGGGTTTAGCAAACATTTCTTGCTTCACTAGAACAAAGCATCCATTTATAGAAGCCTTTACAAAGAGAGACTATCTAATTTTTTTAAAATTATATTTAATTAACATGTTTTCCTTGAAACACTCTAAATGAGCATGGCAGTTAGTGTTATTGGGGCTTATGAACTCGCAGCTGCAACCTATAAACATTCAGATTTTATTTTAAAACATCCATAAAAATATTTAGTTTTTTATTTGTATTCTTTTTTTAGTATTAAATTGTATATCGGTTTTGTTATAATGCTTGAATCAGTTGAACTTAGAAGACTCCTGATATGGTCTTTATGTATGATATATCCTGTCTTGTGACTCGTTGAATTGAGTCCCAGGAAGCATTGACAGAGCCTCTTCCTTTCACTCTGTCATTCAATCATAACATGAGTCACATTAGGTCTTATCACTCCCAATATAGTAACCACATTAAACTCTTTGTTTATTTATCTTAATCCTATCTGCTACTGTTTGTAGAATATGATTTACCATGAGCTATTTCTCCAATTTTTTTTAATTTATTTATTTTTGTTGTAATGATATTGAATACTCTTACTTACCATTTACCATATCCACATTTTAAAGCTATCTCTAGTCCAAATATGGCATTCATGTATTACCCCTATTTATTCGCATAAACTTCCCCTTAAATGAACGCTCTCTTTAGAGCCTAATTTGGAATAAATACCAACCTTAAAAAATTACACTTGAAAAACCCTTCTCAAAAGTTCTCCTCCCTAAATCTACCCCTCCCTAAATCTACCCCTCTCAATATTGTATAGGACCATATGGCATTAGAAGATACTTTAGGCTACATTATTTAGTATACAGTATAGTAGAGCATACGGAAAGCTCAACAAAGTATGGTTTTGCTACTTAGAACAATATAGTTAGCATAATCACGTAAATAAATATCAGCTCATTACTGTATATTTACAGTATTGCTAAAATAGCTCATTATACGGCATATGTCCATTAGTGGCAATTACCTCTTTTTGATGCACCTATAATTCTTTTATTCTGTGTTGTTCAGTCTTGGATATCTGATACATTTTCTGTGTTCAACTATGAACTAGTGTAAATTTAGCCTAGTCTTAGGATCAATAGAAACAGATGTGACATATATAGTCTTGTGATTCTAGTAACTTTATATATTATACCAGCTTAACGCAGCAAAAACACAAAACTGGTGAAATTTAATGCTCTAAGGGGCATTGTTTATAGTTAAATCTAAATATCTAAACAAATACAAAAGGGGAAATTGATTAATCATATTGATCACCATCAGCGAGTCTACGTTAAATTCCCTATTCAATTCAGGAAAATAAAATCCATTTTTAACCAAAAGTAGGTTTCTGTTGGGCAACAATGGGTGTTCGGTTTGACCTTTAACAAATTGCAAATTTGTTGCAGTCTACTGGTTTAACAAGGCTTGTCTGATGGAAACAAAGCAGAATATTGTATGTAGCACTTACATTATTCCAGGTCAGTACATTTACCCATGCATAATACCAAAAACTTGAATGATATACAATTGCATAAAAACTACTATTGAATGCAATAAAATATCCCTCTAGGTACATAGTAATGCATGGTAACTACATGAAAAAAATTACCTATTAAACTTTCTATGTTGAATAGTACCGTTTTAATATTTTTCCAAATAGTTTTTTTATGGGTTTTTGTTAGAAGTAGTGAGCCATTGGTTAGCTGGTTACTATTATAAACACTGAACCTAACAGGCTATTGTTCCCATTTGCATCCTTTAAAGCCTTAGAATTAACATGTTTCCCCATCAGTTGCCAATCCCCAAGGTTTAAGGCTACATCACAAGGAGAACAAATTATTGGATTTTTATTCAAGGCTGGCTTTTGTAAGTTATTGTGGGATTTGTCTCTTGTTAATGATGCGTCCAAGGGAATATGGAATATTTGTTTTGAATTTTGCATAATTTGCTTTTATTTCTTAAATATCCCATAATAATATCAATGCATTTTTATGCCCAAATCTAGACTATGATATGTAAAATTAGAAACATGCTGAATTTTTATATTTATGAACAAGTACTCTGTATCTGTGGCAATTTTTATGATTATTATTTGCATAGTATTTGACAATATCAGCTTTTACCATTACTTCATGAAGTAGATTATGGCGCCCTCAATAGTTTATGCCTGTTATATCAATCAATCATTTATTAGAACATACACCTTTAGATCGGTGGCACTCAAGATCATTTGGTGCGTTCAAAGTGAATTAAAATTCTTAGCTACAAGTACAAAAAACAAAAAAAAAACAACAACAAAAAAAGAAATTACGAAACAAAACAAGGGAATCTTAAGTAAAAATGAAATAAACACAAGTGAGTAGTGCTGCTGATGAGGCAAGTAGCTCCCCGAAAAACATATTGAATTATTAATTAAATGATCAATTTTTATTACAAAGTAAATTTAATAGACAAAGTTATTGAATTCGAATACAATGTGAATCTCTTTTCCATTAAGTATTACTTATTTTGTTTAATTAGGTGTTAAAAATAATTTTAATGAGGTGTGTAGATAATCTGACATTTAATACATCATGCTAAATGAATTTTACATATTACATATAACCATTAAGTATTGTTTGTTGCTATTATACTTGTAAATGATCATAATTATATTTTATGTTACATAATGTACACGTATTACGAGATAAAATGTAGAATAAATAGCATAATTTGGTTCACCATGTGTTAGGCCGTCCCAATGTTTCGGTGAGATTACACCGATTGCCTCCATGAGAATTAATGACGTATATTTGGCGTTAAATGGGAAATATTGATAGAAAGATTATTTAAAATGAGGTTATGAAGAGGGAATACAGTCAAAAAAAGTCAAGTCCAGACTTGACAGAAACATGCTACATACCTAAATATGGTCATGATGACATCACATCATGACCATGTATAGGCACATTATGACTATATATGGACATACATTTTTTGTCAAAGAAAATTTGTTAATCTGTACAGCTTTGCTTATTCCATAAAATAAAGAGCTCTCGATTTGTGTGACGACGCTACGCTAGAACGGAATCACTCGTGCGTGACCGTCTTACTTGGCATCCTACGTTCTCTGCATACGTAGATTTGGCCAAATTGCGTTCCAGAATCTACTCAACGAGGTGAAATTAACGCTCTCGCATGCGCAGGTGACTTTTAGTGACACCATTACGTTCTACGTCCTGCCGTCGTCGTGCAATCAAAAGCTCCCTAATATATTTGTGTAATTTTATAGTTTGAAATTCATGAATTTAGATTCTCTCTTGCCGTGGTATGACTCACAATCGACTGAAAATGTTGAATTGGGGTACCACTAAGAGATTCTCAAAATCATGTTGGTTACTTACTACTACAAAATATTCAATTTCCATTTTAAAAAAATGTCTGTCCTTCAATCCACTAATAAATAAGGAGCAATAAATGAGGGTTGCTTGTTTGCAGAGTAGAAAAAAATCAGAATCTCTCTCTTTCATCTTTTCTTTCCCACATACAGTAGTTCTTATTCTTATTCTTTATTTGCCGATCAATAATCATTAGTATAATTTAATTTTTTTTAAATTACTTTAAAAATTAAAGTACATCCTGGCCGAGCCACGGCGCTCATATGGGCTGGAGCTCATCCCTAGTTTCAAGTAGTGTGACACGGATGAGAGCGTGATTTACTCCCAGTAATTTACTGGTACCCATTGATACAGTTGGGTAGACAAGGCAATTTAGATGAAGTGCATTGCCCATATAAACATGCAAAATACACAACGAAGGATTGAAACCCCGACCTCGAGTTTGGGGAACCAGACAATTTCCACTGCACCAAACCGTCTCCATAATCAGAGATAAATATCGAAAATGTATTTATTCAAGGTGGCATCATAAAAAAAAAAATTAGCTTTCCTCCTACAAACAAGCTAGCAATGGTTAGCCATCATAAAAAAAATCATCTTACTGTATATATGGACAGACAGAAACAGATTGTTATACCTGTATAGATTACTTGTTTTTAATAGAAACCCAACAATAGATACTACCTTATATTACGGTACTAAAATAGACAATGTAGTAATACCAACAACAATTGAAGAATTGAATAAATGCCAAGAATTTAGCAATTCAACATACATGTAATGATTCAAATTTCATGGTCACATGTTTCAAACTAGATTTTTTTTTTTTCAAAATTTAATAGGGAAAATGAAATATTCTAAATATTCTGTGATAAAAATTATTTTGCCAAAATATATTAATTTTCAATTATATTTTGTTTTTAACTTGCAGATAAGAACAATAGCAAGCCAACACCACAAAAACGAAGGAGGCCTGTGTCTCAGCCCGGCAGTCCCACCGTCTTGGGTACACCGGGTAGGCCCGTGCCCCTGTCGGAGAGACAACAGTTAGCCCTTGTACTGGCAATGACAAAGGAAGACAATGCTGTTGGTAAGTAAAAATAGCGCCCTCTCTTGACATGTGGAGGACAATAATATGATGGATAAAGATTTCAATTTTGTAGGATTTTTTTGCAGAATACAAAAACATTACATATTGTTTCCATGTTTTTTCTCATGTTTAATATTCAAATGTTTGGAAACTTCTGAATGAGTTTGATTTCTGATCATATTCGTATATTAATTAGCATTAGCATTCAACTGTAAAAACCTGGATTATCGGGCATTTTATTAATTAGTATCTTGCGCCTTCCAACCATAATATTAAAGTATTGGCAGCTTAGTGGGTCAACACACTATTTGTTCACTAGCTTAAGTAATTTACACCATTCATTTTGCTTGATTTTAGATTATTCATCAAACACTAATGAATCGTTAACACTACAATTGCTAGGCCTACAAAGTCTGGAGCTTTTAAAAGGAGGTTTAAGCCATTGTGCCCAAGGTGTTTTATCAGAATCTGTATAGAACCTCTAAACCATTGAAATCGCACATAACAGGAATGTATTGTTGCAAAATCCAATGCAGGTTCTGCTACACAATAGTAGTAGTTCACCTAAATGGCATATTGCTGGGGGTTTAATTATGAGAAAGGTCACAGGCTGAGGGCATGCGTTTTATAGGGATGGATGTTGACAGATGGCAGCCTAGCCCTCAGCTCTGCACTCTGTTTGCATGCAAATCTTGTTCAGATCCCATGTGAACTGGGATTATGTGCCATAGTATAAAAGTCATGTTTGAATACACCTAGGATTAGTTCAAGTACCTATTTGGTTGACCATGGATATATGTTTTATACACCTACTCGCACTAATAAAAGAATCATCATTCATTCATTCTTTATTCACTGTTCAGTGATTATATGAGATCTAATAAATAAAAAAGACTACTTTTGAATGACATATATTATACCTAATGAAAAATAGTAGTCAGTGAAGCCACAATAAAGGGGAGATTTTAAATGCATAGTTATATAATATTTATTTATTCCACTTTCTATAGATGTGAATTCTTTTGTATATATATCTGTTTTGTATTAAGATAAGTTTCTTCAATTAGTAGCTCTTTCACAGCCAAGCCTGAATTTACAAACTTATAAATTAAAATAATCATATTACCACATCATAACATTTAAAAACATAAAATTATTAATTGAAGATACAAAGTTGATTAAATGGTGTATTGTACTACATCAAACGATAGTAAATATTATGGAACAGTAAGAAAAGAAAAACATTAAACATATCACATTTTTAGCAATGAATGTTTTACTATCAAGTTTAATTTCTTATATTTATATCTCATTCAGAGACAAGCTTGAATATTTACAAATTTATAAGTTAAGATAATCATATTACCTCATAAAATTTAAAAACATCAAAATATTAATTGAAAATACAAAGTTGATTAAATGAAGTACTGCACTACATACAAAGAGAGTAAATATTATTTAAAAATTATTAACAATAAGGAAAAAATAATCACCTTTTTTTGGCAATGAATATTTTAATATCTTTAAAGATTATAGTGACAAAGGGATATTCTTAAGATCAGCTCTAACATAAATTCCAAAAAGGAAGAAGAAAAAGATGGCTACTTTCAAATGATGTCATATCTAATTATAGAAATGATGATTTCTCAGCAAAATTATCAAATTCAGATTTTGAATAGTTCCAATTAACAGGAGATATGCTAAGAAGAGTAGTTGTTATGTGGAGATTAAACTCTATTTGCTGTGTGTTGTCAGTCGATGGAAAATGTGTTGCATAAATGTCCACACATTTAAAATATGAAATGCATTATGGGACAGAGGAAATGACAAATTATTTATGATTTTTATAAATAGACAGGGTTTTTTTGGAATTTATTCAAAAATGCATAAGCCTGTTTTTTTTTGTTTTTTTTTAATTATTTAGAGGAAGTTCAGGTCATATGTACCTGGTGAAATATCCGATAATAATGATAATAAATCATTTTTATATAGCCAAAAGCAATATTTTTCTCAACTCTGCTTTTGTGTCCTTTCCAAGTCCCTGGAAACTGCATCCTTTAGTACAAAACTCTGTTAATATTTCCTCTTTTAATATTTAGTTAAGCATTCATGCATTTTTATTTTTCTTAATATTTCAGTGCTACTGTATTTCATTACTGAAAGATAGAGAGCAAATCCTGTTTGGGCTTTCGCTCATTTCCTCTCCGGGGAAACAGTGTTGTTTCATTCTGCCAAATAAATAATATTTGCCAAATAAATATTATTTTTATATTCTTATAGCGCATAATGTATTAAACCGCTATGCACTTCAACTTAAAGAAAAACCAGAGTAAAACAAAAACAAGATCAAAATTAATAATAATTGTCAGCATAGAAGTGTTCTCCCGAAGCCGTTTTAGCAGTCAATTTTACCGGTAAATATGACTGGCCAGCCAATAATAATTTGTGTTCATGTAAAATTTTAAAAACTACTGATCAGGCCTAGATAGTTTAGGCGGGCCTTCTTTCAATAACTGAACATAATTCCAATCTATGCCTAGGCTATAACTGTGTTGTTTTTTCATGTCATTAAACCCCACTCAAAAGGGGTAACACCTCACACTGTGCTCATAGCTGAAATTTTATGGGCAAATTAACCAGTAAAAATGTTCGAATTGGGAGAACATTGCATAGGCCTATTAATTGGCTTGTTGGTTTGTTTTAAAAAAAATGTATATTTTTGCATTAATATTTATTTTTCCCAAGTATAAATCTTGCCTTGAAAAAAGAATGGTGTAAATATATTTTTTGATTTTGAAAATATAAGTTTATTTTGACCATTCAAGACCCCTGGGTCTAAAGATAAAAGTGGTGTTGTAATTTCCTATTGTTGTATAGAAGCGTACATAAAAGGTAATGTTTTTGATTAGAATCATAGAATAAGTAAAGTGTAACATAAGTATTAGAAACTAAAAAAGAAAAACTATTATGATTAAAAGCAGCACGTTGAAAATGAAATAATACTGTACTATTAAGGTAGCCTTTATTTTTTAAACTCTGTGAAAAAAAAAATATATGTTAATAGATATTTGATTTTGAATTTCAAATTTTAAAAACTTGTTATTCATTGGGGTGTGCACATGACTCACTCACTAATTGCTACTGGCAGATATAAATCTAGTGGTTTACTTTTCGTAGATAAAAGCATATTCATTTTATGATGAAAAATATCTTTGAAAACAAATAGCTGTTGAGTAAGTCAGGGACAGTCTCAACAATTCTGTAACCAATCTAAAATAACCAAAGGCTGAGTACTATGTTGTTAAAATAAAATAGGAAAATATTCCAAATTCATGGATAAACCAAATCATACTCAATAAAATAATAAACAATTTTAATATTTTGTTGTTATTAGTCATTGGATATATTAATTTATGGAAGTGATTATTATGAATCTTGTCTCTTTAGTACAGTGTACTGTAAATTGTTATAATTTAGTATTTTTAGCAATATTGGTGCGTTTTTATTCAAACATACAATGGTGTACCACATTTCCCTACCAGTAGGTGGAAAGAAACAACATGAATAAATTGTCTTGCCCAAGAAAAATTTTCTGTACTTTAACTCTGACCTTTAGATTGTGGGTAAACACAAAACTTAATCCATTGCACTGTTAAAGTGTTGTATAGCACTGTTAATATTTTCCTTGGTATAATATTGGTATTATTATTATGGTTACTATTCTATTTATTTGATAGTTGGTTACTAACTCATGTACTAATTTATAATGGGCTACTATCACTAACAACTATTTCATTTTGTTGCTTAATATATCCCATGCTATTTGAACTATTTCATCAATTTGATATTGGATTCTGGACTAGACTTCTTCAGATAAGATAAGAGTTTTACTTATTCATATTAAGTAGGTTAAAGTAATTTAACCATTCTTTAACTAGATAATTTGTCATTTAAACCCAGAAGAGTATAATATATACTGTCTTATTGTTTTATAAAATGTGTTAAAAAATTCATTATTTATAAGCTTCGGTCTACTAAAATTATTTTATTTTCTTCATGCACTGAGGAAGATGAATTTCATTTATTAATGAATGTTGATAATGATACTATAAAATATTCAATTAGTGGCATCATATGAGATGTAGGCCTATATTACCTGATTGTAAAAATTGAAATGGAACTCGAATATTATGCAACTTTGAGTTCTTATACAAACCTCAGTGAAATACCATGATTGAGAGAAACTTATAAAGCTCTGTCTAGATTATCAAATTTTCTTTGACAAAATACTTTTCAAGTTCAACAAAAAATAAACTATGTATTAATCCTGGAAATGGAAATTTAGGCATGCTTCTATTATATGATATAAGTTACATCTATATCATAGTAGCATCATATTCATTTTGTACTATATGTAGTATTCTCCCAATAAAAAATAGTTACTGCCTCACTCACACGGAGTCCAACACAGACTCTTTGCAGGGCCTAATCGGCTATACACACAGCACTAACTCTTGAAAAATACATAAGATTTGATGCCAGTATCTATATAGCAATTCATTCTGACATTAGAAATTGCACTTTATAACATTTCCTGCTGGTTGCTCACTGTTTTTTACAAGGAGCCCCAAATACCAGTCATATGATCCCAATTACTAACTGTGTCTATTTTAAGGCTGTTTTGAGAATAGCTGGTATAATAACACTCCAGCAAAGGAGACTGCTAGCTTCTATCTTGTGTGTTTCTTTTGGAAGAAAAGATGTTAAAAGATTCAAAAAAATATACATTACATGTGAATTTTAATTCATATCAATTACATAATTTAGACTATAATAATGAAAGGCAAGAGAGTTATTCTAAAACCAATCACCCAATCCCAACAAAACTGTTAAATAACTTGCATAGATACTGCCATCCAAATAATTGAGTTTGTCTGTTGGGAGTTGAAAAGTATTAGGGCAAGTCATTATTCAGATAGTAATATCATGTAAAAGGTCAG